GAGACGACGACACGACGCAAGCCACGCGAACACAACTCCAACCCCCAGACCCCCAACTATAAACGGGAATCCTTCGCTACGCATTCGAGAATAAATGGTATAAAAAACCATAATAAATTACTTTACAAAAAAAATAAAAATCATTTAATCGAAGTAAATATATATCATGAAGATAATACTAAAATAACACCCGAATTTTAGAAATATACTAAAATTAATACATAAAAAAATATTCAAAAAGAACAAAACCATCCTATATATATCATTTACTCGTATATATACGATTATATATCCTATCATTTGCATAAAATAGAATATAATATCTATCAAATATTTGAATTTAAGTAATGTAAAAAAAACATATAATTGTTCTATTTATTATATTAATTTTAATTATATATTTAAAGAATTCTATAAATTTTACAAGAAATTTAAAGTATTTAAATATCGAAATAAATCTATAATATAAATTCCTAATTTGACGGTAATAATCGTATATAATCATTTAATAAAAAAAACACATAATTATTATATTTTATTAATATTACAAAATATATTTTCATTATTAAAAAAATATAAATCGAAAACATAAAAATTTAAATCTAATATATTTCATAAAATATATTAAATATTTAAAACAATAAAAAAAAATAAACATATAATATATATATATATAATTATATAAATATAAATAAATATCTAGAAAACTATATCCGAAAAATCATTTCTATATTTAATAATCAAAATAAAAAATTACCGGAGAAACGTAATATCTTCCCAAAATATATTTTTACAATCAAAAAATAATTATCACGAAATTTCTCCAATCAATCTTCCTTTAATAATTGCAATAATCTCTACACTAAACATTTATTTAAATAACATGTTACAATAGCGTATTTTAATTTCATAGCCTTCCTTCCTCCTCATTATTTCCTTGCTTCAATTCTACCTTCCTTTCCTATTTCGTTCCTTCCTTTTCTATTTCTTTTCTTACTTCATTCCTTATTTTCTTCGATCATTTCTTTCCATATTTTTTTAAAAAAATGCATTTCCCATTTATATTTATCAAATTATAAATTTATTTATATATTATAAACACATTACTCTTCCAAAATCCGATCCTATAAATCCCAAAATTTCAATAATAAAACGATTAAATATATTTATATTTAAATACGAAAATATATTTCATAAACAAATATATAACATTAATTAATATAATATATATTTCAAATTATTCCGGCAAAAAATCCCATTCTATATAAAATCTATAAATATAAATCAAAAAAATCTAAATGCATTAAGATCCAAAAAAAACAATAATAATAATAACTAAATAAATATATATATATAAATGTAAATATAAACGAAAATTAAACAAATATTAATACCTATTTCCAAGTTTTATATTTCATAAATCTTCCATAAATTCCATCAAAAAATTAGATCTTATTAATAATTTCTGCCCCTACTACCAAGAACCAAACGAAAACAAAAAATAGCGCGAAACAAAAAAGAGGCAAAGAAATACCGGGATTTCCATAATCGGCATCCAACGAAAACACCGTGGATTTCCTATGACATGAGTGAAAAAAACGCCTAATTCACGTTCCTATTAATATTTAAGTCCAAAGCAACGTTAAACAATAGGCAATCCAGAGGAAAATAAAACTTGTTAAATATCTTCAATTCGGCGGATCTCTTCACCTTTCCGTTCGGCATTTTGCAATTACAAGTACTAATAAGTATAAAATGGGACTTCATTCTAGTCCTAGCTCTAAGTATATATCGCCACAGAGTCCCATTGAGGGTTGTGGTGTGATCCCTGTCGAGGGGCGCCGCATATACGCAAACCCAAATCCTAGGGGATCAATTCCGATTTTTTCGTCTCTGCTTTGGGACTTCACTCTGAAATTCTCTTGATTGCCTGTTCTGCACGATACCATGATACTATGGCGCAGGGCTCATTGAGACTTACGCTCCAGTCAGGATTTGCGAACATGTGTCTAAGTATTCTAAGTAATCACAGGCAGGGCTCAGGACTCAGACTTTCCGCTTTTCAGTTGCATGTGCTTTTCATGTTCTTGGGTTCTTTCTCTTTTTCTGTTGCTTTTCGTTTCTCCACACCTTTCTTTAGGTTTCAGGTGCCTTTCAAACAAGGGTGCGAAGACAAAAATCCCGCTTGCTAACTACTTTCATTTAACTAAGTGGGCCTCGTCACTACACCTATCCTTCTTTCTTACCCTCTTCGTGTGCTTTTGTTTTGTTTCTTTTTCTGTCTTTCTAAGGCTTTTTAGGTGGCTAGTAACTCACTCTCCAACGCGCCAATATTGGCGCTAGGCGCGCAAAACTGTTACACCAAATTCGTGTCATGTAAGGGATACAGAGCGCCGATTGCGGCACAGTGTGTGTGTGTGTGCGTTAACACCTGTTTCCAAGGTTTGTACCTGGTAAGTCTGCCGTGGATTCCACTAGAGGGCTGGGTGCTACTAGTAGTTTCTGGCCTTACTACAAAGAACCAAACGAAAACAAAGACAGCGCGAATCAAAAAAGAGGCAGGGGGATGCCGGGGATTTCCATGGTCGGCATCCAGCGAAGACACCGTGGATTTCCTGTGACGTGAGTCAGGGACGCCTGTTCCTGCTAATTTTTACGTCGAAGGCAGCGTTCAGCAGTAGGCATTCCAGGAAAACAAAACTTGTTAAACATCTTCAACTCGGCGGACCTCTTCACCTTTCCGTTCGGCATTTTGCAGTTACATCAAGTCAAGTGCTAATGAGTGTAAAGTGGGACTTCATTCTGATCCTAGCTCTTGCGAGCAACCATCCAAGTGTGAGTGTGAGAAAGTGAGAGTGGGTGAGTGAGTGAGTGAGTGTGAGAGTGAGTGTGAGTGAGTGAGTGAGTGTATGAGTGAGAGAGTGTGTGAGTGAGTTGCCCACAATGCCGAGCGCGCCTGGGTGGAACCACGCCAGGAGAGATGAGAGCACAGACCAGACAGAGATCCAGAGAGCACACATCTGAGAGCACAGCCAGCAGAGCTCGCATCAAGTGAGCAAATTCACACAGTGCTGTGCCTGCCACGAACTCTGCACTTCGAGGTTCACCAAGTGCTACACCTGCCACGAAATCTGCGCTTCGAGGTTCACCAAGTGCTGCGCCTGCCACGAAATCTGCAGCTCGAGGTTCACAAAGCGCTGTACCTGTCACGAAATCTGCACATCCAAGTTCACAAAGCGCTGCACCTGCCACGAAATCTGCGCATCGAGGGTCATGTTGTACCTGCGACGAAATCTGCACATCGAGGGTCACAGAGTGTTGTGCCTGCCACGAAATCTGCACTTCAAGGTTCACCAAGTGCTGCGCTTGCCACGAAATCTACACTTCGAGGTTGCTGCGCCTGCCACAAACTCTGCACTTCGAGATGCACCTGCTACGAAATCTGCACTTCGAGGTTCACCAAGTGCTGCGCCTGCCACGAACTCTGCACTTCGAAGTTCACAAAGTGCTGTACCACAAATCTGCACTTCGAGGTTCACAAAGTGCTACGCCTGCTACGAAATCTGCACATCGAGAGTCACAGAGTGCTGTGCCTGCCACGAAATCTGCAAACGAGCCACATGTCAAAAAGTCACGATTCACTGCACCTGTCACGAAATCAGAGCTCGTCGACGATCACCACCATGTCCAAAGTGCTGTGCCTGCCACGAAAACTGCACTTCGAAGTAAAACAGCTCCGATCCCTTGCACCTGTCACGAAAAGTCGACTTTGGAGCACCAAAGCACGAGGTTTCCCTTGCACCTGCCACGAAAAGTGACCACCATGTACCAAAATGCGCACGGCACCACAACGAGAGCGCAGTCGCTAGAAGCACCTGCCGCTGGCCCCCAGATTCTGCGAGCCTGCGCAGTCGAAATGCACATTGACGATGTCGAGAGGCATGAATGTACTGTAAATAGCAGCGAATTAGACGCAGACGCCCGCGTGGAACAGCGATCTAAGCACACCTGCTTTTCTCCTACCGTAAGAACCCCTCAGTGTGACCACACTGTTTGGGGAACAAAAATTGTCAAAAACACATATTTAATTCTACGTCAAATTTGAGACATGACCCTCTCTAAGTCAAAACAACAAATGCATTTAGGATTTGTAAACTATTTTCTCAGTTCATTCAATATTCCTGCACCTCGTCAACTTGCAAATGCATCCTTTTAACAGCAGAATCGCATGCTAAAAATTGAAGTTAAGGGGATGTATGATTGAAACGGTACTCAGAAATGCTTTGTGCGGACACTACTGTTGCTTGTTATGGGTCGCAACAATTCCAACTTCGCTTCCGTCCCAACGACGCGCCCGCCTGGATGGAAGCGGGACTTTCTGAGTTCCGCTTTCCGTTCGGCCAGGAAATCTTGGGGTAGCAATGGTTCATGCCTCCACTGAATGGGCAAACCTATCTTCGCTCACTTGAACCTTTCAATTCTTCTCTCTTTGCCCTGTCTATGCATTTTTGTTTTCCTTTCGATGTGGGAAGTTTCTTTTATGATATGTGACTTGCATGATGCAGCTCCTTGCGCCAATGCCATCGCGAATCTCCTTGAGGAGCGAATGCTTCAATGTGCAAGTGCGTCCAGAAAACACGCCACGATTTTGCTAGTTTGGTCGGCGCCTGGAATCCCAAAGCGCCCATCAACTGGTCTGCTGCCAAGCTTGAGCAGCAGGCTGAAACCTCAGGTGCGGTTGTCCTTCCATCTTCTTCCTTCATTCCTATTTAGTGTCTTTTCTACTGATGCTCAAAGATTCTTGTTTTCTGAAGGATTTAAGTGAAGGTCTGGCGTGTAAACAGGTCCTCGAGCCTCCTTGTCCTGCAGGGGTTCTGCAAAGAAACGTGTCTCAAAATTCACTTGTCCGGCCTGCATCTGCAAGTAAAGGAGGACGAACCAGGGGAACACAGCCTGCAATTTCTAAGTTTTTGTACCCGTAATACCTAGCCTTATGCTTGCTACTCTGTGGGTCGTGCCAGCTTCGATTCCATGACACACTCATGCCTCGAAAATGGCGCACGAGATTTGAGATGATTGAATTAATGCTCAATTCAATGGCTAAATTTGTCAACATGGCACTGAGCTCCCCGCAGTTTCTGTGCGAGCAACGCCGTGCAGGGAAGCTGTGAGCGCAAAGGTTTCTTGGGGTCATCTGACCGGCCTCTCCGCCAAAAAAGGTCAAAGCTTCGATGGCGGAGTTTTGAGAAAAAACGTCTTGTAAAAACAAAGCCTTCATCCAGGATTCGAGCAAACCGCTCCACCAGGGTGCTGTCAGGACCATCAAAGTCAGCCAAACAAGTGCCTCCATCTACATCACACAGCGCTTGCAAACCTCCCTACCAGAATTGTCGCTATTAGGTTGGAGGCCATAGCTTCTAGGTTGGAGGCCATTTCCAATCTTGAGGTTTTGACAACGAAGTCTTGAAAACTCTTGTTTTTTTGCACAAAGTCTTGTAAAGCCAAACCACAATTGTGCAAAACTAAAGCATTGAAGCAACGACCCCTTGGCTGCTCTCAAAGTTCAAAACCCTGCCTGGTGGGAGTGGTGGTGGGGTGGGGCAGCAAAAGGCTGCTGCCCACTCAGCTGCACTCACCTTGGAGCAGGGAGCGCAAAAAAGGACGCCCCAAAGAGAAGGGTCACTGGGGTCTCAAGCCACTCCAGGCTCATTTGGTCCTGCCAGCTTGTCAAAAGAACGTTCTTCCTTTCCATGATAAACTTCGAAATTACTTTGTGACTTCAGTTGAGTCGTTCGGAACCCATCCTTCACCAGGTGCTCCAAAGGCCAACTTGGCCATGGTCAACCGCTCCTCAGTAAACTTGATTTGAGCAGGTTTAAGGATGTTTAAAGGTTTGAGCCTTAAACAACACAAGCTGAAACTTCTAATGAGCTTTCCCACAAGAATCACCAAAGGACTGCTGATGTGAAGAAAGATTTTGGAGACTTGTTTGAAGCTAAGCAGCCACATGATTGGCATCTGGTGCCGTGAAGGTTGGAAACCACGCCTTGAAAACACCAAACACCACCAACGTCCTCTTTCAGCCTTGTGCATCATACCTACAAGCACTATCATTTCTCTCCAGCCTGCGACTCGAGTCTGCTGTCTGGCCTTGCGATTTCGCACAAGGTAAACAAACAAAGTTCAGAAAGAGACAATGCTGGAGACAAATGAAGAGCATGCACCTGTTTCATTCCATTTCTCTGAATTCCTTACACCCTGATAGCTTACCATAGCTTACCGGTTTAGAGTTTAGCTCTGGGAGCCAAGCCGCTCAGGGCCACAGCGCTTGACATAGAGCCGCCGTGTTTCGTCCACGGCCTCAGCATTTTTACACGGCGCATGCAACCCCACCACGAAGACGGGCTCTTTCAGTGCCTTCATCCAGCGCGCTGCTGGAGTGCCTCACAAACAGAACTTCTGATCTGAGAACTTTCTCTTTTTGTGTTCATTTGTTGATTTCCAAACTCAAATGCCAAGTACACTTGTCGCCTGAAATCTTAACGCTATACTCCACTTGTGTGCTTTTCACCGCTGAGACCAAGCACTCATATTTGCTTTACTTTGAATTCTCTGTGCTCAAGCGTATCTCTTGTCCAGTCTGTCCGAACCCTGCCTGATTCAGCCCTTTGGATGGTGACAGGCCAGAAACCCTCGCTGTTGATGCTGATGGAGCGAACCTGAAAGCTCAGCCATTCCAAACAAATCATCGGCAACACCATGTGAGGCCTCTTTGCCAGCCAGGAGCAGCCTGAAAAGAACGGAACTCCCTTGCTTTGTTGTTGAAAGAAATGGACATTTGCTGAGGGCCTCGGGAAACGGAGCGTCTCCGTCTCAAGATCTGTGCCGGTCTCTGTCTCCAAGGTCACATGGACATGTGCCGGTTGTTTGGAATCCACCTTGGAACGATGACATGAGGTGACCGTCTCCACTTTGATTTTCGATTAAAGAAGAGAAAGATAAAGAGAAAAGTTAATTCTAATTCTTGTTTCTAATATCTTCTTGTTCCTAGTAAGGCCAGGAGCCCCTAGTAGCGTCCTTGCTCCTGGAAGACCACGGCCGTCGGAATCTTCACGCCGGACTCTGGATCGGTCCCCGCCTCCACAGCCTCGATGCAGTGATGCCTCCACAGCAACCCCCGGTGGGAAAGATGAAGAACACAACAGCCTAACTGAGGGACGACCTTTTTCCAAAGGCTTCCTCTTCTCTGGCGCAACGTCGTCCATTTGGCACCTTAAGCGCTTTGAAGCCCAAAGCACCTTGCAAGCCTTGATGTCAATGGGATGTTCCTCTCCGCGAGTGGACCAGGCAACTCTTCTCCCTCAACTCTTCCTGACCGTGTTCTCCTCCACGCATCGTCAGCAAACAAACACTCACAATCATCGGCTTCTCAGCCCGGCTTGTGCTCGCCATCCTTAGTCACTGGCTCATCTGCCAGCTGATCCTTCAGCTTGTCAGCTGATCCTTCCTTGTCTTCTGGCTTCTCGGATGCCTTGTCTGCCTTTGCCTTGTCTGCTGGCAAATGGCCAGCCTCAGCTGGACCCGCCTCTGCTGATGGTTCGACAATGCGCTCGACATGTTCCACTGGCTCTGGCTCCTTTCGGGTTGCCTTCGGCGGCATGTGGAGAAGCCGTTCGACATTGTTCTTCTGCAGCATCTTGAAAGCCATGGGGCCGCAACCCAACTCAAGCGGCGCTGCCAGAAGTGCTGCCTTGAGTCTCCAAGTCTTCAATTCCGAATGCTGTTTGTGAGGCCAAGCTTCTCCGGCTACAAAGGGCAACAAATATTCAATAGCTTTCCTAATGCTCCGTCCGTCCTTCGACTGATACGTCCAAAGGTCCACACCCACATGTCGTGCTAGAGTGGCCAAACGGGTGAAGTTTCGGAGGTTTTCACAGGAATAATCCCATCCGTTCGCTCGACTGATCTCTTCAGGTTGACTTCCATCCGTTTGGATCTGCGTATTGATGCGACGCTTCCCCACCTTCTCGGCCACGTCCCGAGCGATCTCCGGCTTTTCCACAAACAAGGCGTAAGAGATCAGCTGCGCATCGTATTGGGTTGCATGATTATTCTTTGTGCGATCCTCTTCACGACCGTGCTTGCTGGTCTGCAACCATTGAAGAAATTCACTGAACCACTCCACCAGTCCTGCTTCCATAAACCGCATTGACCATCAACAGAGGGGGCTATGACGCATTTTCGCCATCATCTTTGCAAACCCTTCCATAGTAACTGCTCTATTGAAGATAGATCCACAAGAAAAGAAAGAACCACATTGAATGACAACTGCACAGGATCCTTCAAAAAAGAAGCCAACTCCAACCTGTCTTGGTTCCTCGTTTTCTCTCTCTCTCTCTCTATTAGGTTACAGGCCATTGCTGTTAGGTCGGAGGCGATTGCTTCTAGGTTGGAGGCCATCGCTGTTAGGTTGGAGACGATTGCTCTCAGGCTCCCTCTTTCTTTCTTTCTTCCTCCCTCCCTC